TGTTGTGTGTGTGTCTGTGTGTGTGTGTGTGTCTGTGTGTGTGTGTGTGTCTGTGTGTGTGTGTGTGTCTGTGTGTGTGTGTGTGTGTCTGTGTGTGTGTCTGTCTGTGTGTGTCTGTGTGTGTGTGTGTGTGTGTCTGTGTGTGTCTGTGTGTGTCTGTGTGTGTGTCTGTGTGTGTCTGTGTGTGTCTGTGTGTGTGTCTGTGTGTGTCTGTGTGTGTCTGTGTGTGTGTGTGTCTGTGTGTCTGTGTCTGTGTGTCTGTGTGTCTGTGTGTCTGTGTGTCTGTGTGTCTGTGTGTCTGTGTGTCTGTGTGTCTGTGTCTCTGTGTGTCTGTGTGTCTGTGTCTCGGTGTGTGTCTCTGTGTGTGTCTGTGTGTCTGTGTGTGTGTGTCTCTGTGTGTGTCTCTGTGTGTGTCTCTGTGTGTGTCTCTGCTGTGTGTCTCTCTGTGTGTGGTCTCTGTGTGTGTCTCTGTGTGGGTCTCTTTGTGTGGTCTCGGTGTGTGTCTCTGTGTGTGTCCTCTGTGTGTGTCTCGGTGTGTGTTCTGTGTGTGTCTCTGTGTGGTGTTCTCTGTGTGTGTCCTCTGTTGTGTCCTGTGTGGTGTCTCTGTGTGTGTCTCTGTGTGTGTCCTCTTTGGGTCTGCGTGTGCCTGCGTGCTGCGGTTGTCTGCGTGTCTGCGTGTCTGCGTGTCTGTCGTGTCTGTGTGTCTGTGTGTGTGTGTGTCTCTGTGTGTCTGTGTGTGTCTGTGTCTGTGTGTGTCTGTGTGTGTGTCTCTGTGTGTCTGTGTGTGTCCTGTGTGTGTCTGTGTGTGTCCTGTGTGTGTCTGTGTGTGTGTCTGTGTGTGTGTGTGTGTGTCTGTGTGTGTGTCTGTGTGTGTGTCTGTGTGTGTCGGTGTGTGTCGGTGTGTGTCGGTGTGTGTCGGTGCGTGTCTGTGTGTGTCGGTGTGTGTCGGTGTGTGTCTGTGTGTGTCTGTGTGTGTGTCTGTGTGTGTGTGTGTGTGTGTGTGTGTGTGTGTGTGTGTCCTGTCTGTCCCTGTGTGTCCTTTGTGTCTGTGTGGTCTGTGTGTTTTGTTCTGTGTCTTGTGTCCTGTGTCTGTCCTGTCTGTTTGGTCTGTCTGTGTGTCTGTCTGTCTGGCCTTCTGTGGTGGTGGTGTGTGCGTGTGTTGTGTGTGTGTGTGTTGGGGTGTGTGTTTGTGTGTGTGTGTGTGTGTGTGGTGTGTGTGTGTGTGGGTATGTGTGTGGGTGTGTAATGTGTGTGGTGTGTGTGTGGTGTGCGCGTGCGCGTGCGCGGTGCGCGGCGCGTGCCGTGCGCGTGCCGCGTGCGCGTGCGCGTTCGCGTGCCGTGCGCGTGCTGCGTTGCGCTGCGCGTGCGCGGGGATTGGCGTGGGCGTGGGCGTGGGCGTTGGCGTGGCGGGGTGGGGGGCCGTGTGCGTGGGCGTGGGCGTGGGCGTGGGCGTGGGCGTGCGCGTGCGCGTGCGCGTGCGCGTGCGCGTGCGCGTGCGCGTGCGCGTGGGCGTGTGGGTGTGGGTGTGGGTGTGGGTGTGGGTGTGGGTGTGGGTGTGGGTGTGGGTGTGGGTGTGGGTGCGGGTGTGGGTGTGGGTGTGGGTGTGTGTGTGTGTGTGTGTGTGTGGGTGTGTGTGTGTGTGTGTGTGCCGTGAGGATCCAAAGGCGTGTTTTGCGCACGAGCGTACACAATATACACGAGCGTATAGTCAACGCCGTGATTTGTAGCGTATACGCTGCGTATATGATATACGCTGCGTATATAGGTTATACGCTGCGTATACGCAAGCCATACATATTTGCGTTGATACATATAATGCATCAATGTGCATGCGCTGATGCAGAAAACGCTTGCGCTGATGGCGTTTACTGGCCAACTTCACGCTGATGCGAAAAATGCTTGCGCTGCTATATACTGGTCAACTGCTATACTTTCAGCAGAAACTTATTGTAACACTTAAGTGACGTTAATTCTTTTTCCCATCCATCCTAAGATGGTGCACACATGCGCTGATGCGAAAAATGCTTGCGCTGATGGCGTTTACTGGCCCATGCGCTGATGCGAAAAATGCTTGCGCTGATGGCGTTCATTGGCCAATTGCGCTGATGCGAAAATGCTTGCGCTGATGGGGCTTTCAGCAGAAACTTATATTGTAACACTTAATGTATTTATAATTCTTTTTTACCATCGTAAGATGCTATACACACATGCGCTGATGCGAAAAATGCCTGCGCGGATGGCGTTTACTGGCCCATGCGCTGATGCGAAAAATGCTTGCGCTGATGGCGTTCACTGGCCAATTGCGCTGATGCGAAAAATGCTTGCGCTGATGGCGTTTACTGGTCAACTGCTACTTTCAGCAGAAACTTATATTGTAACACTTAATGTGACGTTAATTTTTTTCCCATTCATCGTAAGATGGTGCACACATGCGCTGATGCGAAAAATGCTTGCGCTGATGGCGTTTACTGGCCCATGCGCTGATGCGAAAAATGCTTGCGCTGATGGCGTTTACTGGCCCATGCGCTGATGTTGAACAACACGTGTGCTACCCAGAGCTTCCAAAAGACACTATTTAAGAAAACGCACCTTATTTAAGGAATTGTGCGGGAAATAATTGCTTAATTAAGGTCTTTTTCCTTATTTAAGGTGTTTTTCTAGAAAAAGTTGCTTAAATAAGGGGTTTTGGTCCTTAAATAAGGTGTGTTTTCTTAAATAAGGTGTTTTTCCTTAAATATGGTGTTATTTTTTGACACCTTAAATAAGGTATGCTATTTTTTTATTCGTCATGTTATTGTATGCTTGTGTGGTGTATGCGTGTGTCTGTGTGTGTGTGCGTGTGTTTGTCAGTACGTGTCTGTGTGTGTGCTTTGTGGCCGGTTGTTTTTCCGCATCCGTGCAAGTCTGCAGCTCAGGCCAGTGTTGGCAACCTCCTGTTGTTGACACGAAACTTGCTAAGCATTTGCTTGGAAGTGCCTTTCATCGAGTACTTTCCTCCACGACGTTTTGCGTGGAGGGACAACACATGGCCGAAGCCCTCGTCTCGATACGTCCACGTCTCGCTGGGCCGCCGCTTTTGGCGGCCCAGCTCGAGAAGCAGGTGCATCTTGGGCTTTGTCCTAAAATATGTTTGCCCTGGGAATTTACTCAACTCTACAAACAAAGCTGCAAACTTATTGACAGTCTTGTGAAACTTCTCGGCATCCCAATGCCTTTCGGACAAGAACTCATAGCAACTGTGCAGATGCTTCGCAGTCTGCCTCACCGTTCGCTCGAAATCTGAATTGCCCATGTGCCTTTCAGCGCATTCCTTGGCGAATCCGATGAGGTCGCGAGCCTCGCCGGCTTTAGCCCGCAACTTGGGCCACTTCTTGTTTTTGCCTTTCAGCATGAGCGGAGTCAACGTGCTCATGCGGGACTGGGACAGGTTTCGGCGATAATAATTTTGAATATCGCCAAAAAGGTTCTTGCAGCGATCGTGGACACTTCGCTCCGGGAGCTTTGTCTGCACGACCATATGAAAAAGCCCACCCATGTAGTCAGCTGCACATCCTAAATCCATGCAGTGAAGCCAATCAATGCAGCACTTCTGTACTGAAAAGCAAGGACAACTGAAAAGAGGGCTCAAGTTCTTGCCTTCAGAGATCTGCCTGGCCAGGAACTGGTAGTGCGACAGGCGCGAGCTCCTGCAAGGGCATTGGCCGAATGGTCTAGAAACCAAGTTTAGACAGTTGGGGGTAGGGAAACTGCTGGGGTAGAAAACCAATTATATGTTAAAAAAAGGAGAGGCCTCCTCAATAGGAGGCCCCTCCTTATCCTAGAAACGGAAAAATCAATGAGGAGATGCCTCCTCGATAGGAGGCACCTCCTGGAGCAAAGTGTCCTCCAAGAGCTGCTCTCGTCAACATCATGTAGATCTTGCAAAGTCGCTTGACAAAACCAGCAGATTGGGCCGTTGCCAGTCCAGCCAGGTAGTCGCAACACTTCCTGGTATGCCGACCAATCCGCCCGCACTTCCGCCAAGACTGCCCGGCAGCCTAGCGGCTGCGAGGCTCTCCTCTTTCGCCAGCTGTCGTTGCCAAGGAAACGAGACTCGTCGTGACGGAAGGACGGGAAGAAGCCAGTATAACAGCATCTCATCGACCAAGCAATGATAGCCGTGACATCATCCCAGGTAGCTTCAGGCATCTGAAAGAATTTTGGAAATCCTGTCAGTGGAAAGCGAAAGTCGCCAGCATCTGTAAGCCCTGGCAAGCTGAGGGTTGCACACTGCAGTGTCTGGCTACGGTCTGAGCTAAACGGTACACCGTCTAGCCACAGCCCCAACAGCAGGACATCATTGCCGTGCTCTTGAAGTTGCTCTTGCAAGTTGGGAATCCGAGCTTGTTGATTTCTGATTTCCGAAACATCGTTAGACTCCAGGAGAACGTGTAGCACTTCGTGCGGAAGCATGAAGGCCAGGGTGTAGAGGTCCTCCTTGCCAGTCCTTGGATTCTTGCCCCGGACTTGGCACTCATATGGCGGCGGCCACGGTGTTCGGCGAAGATTGCGCCGAAGCAAGTTCCTGGCAGTGTTGCTTCCCTGCTTAGCCTGGGCCAGATCTTTGACCCCCTTGGCGCCTGCGAGCCCAGCATTTTCGCAGAGTCGACTGGCTCTGGCTCCACTGATGTTTCCAGAAAAAAACAAATCCATGCAATCATGTCTAAATCTATCTTCCTCTGCGATATGCTCCAAACTAGATGCCGGCCCTTTGCTCAGCATGTCTGCACAGGAGGCACATCCTTCGTAGGAGTCCCATCCTAGAATTCGAGCCCAGCGAAAGCGAAATGCACGGCAGCAGAGACTTGCAACTCCGAGCGAGCAGTTTTGACCTAGCGACTCAGCGAAACCAAAACATGGCATGCAAGCCAGTTTGTCATTTTCCACAAGCCGCCAAAACTGAAGCTTCCAGCTCTCAAGATCGGATGAGCATCCATCGCAAAAGATGGATTTGTGCAAGCTTAGACACCGAAGCGGCTCTTCAACTTCTTGTTGTAGGCCGTGGCTGCAGCCAGGTGGCTGGTGGCTTCCTCACTCAGCTGGGTGAGCTCCGGCAACTTCGCTTCCATGCATCCCTCGCTCATGTTCATCCACTCGCTGATCTTGAAGCGCAAAGTCTTCAAGAAGCCTCGGAGGGTCTCGATCTTGGGCCCAACTTCGTCCGCCTCCGCTTGGGGACCGTGAGCAACCAGCTTGGCGTGCTGCTCCTCGAGCTCGTCCGCCACCTTCCCCAGCTTGCTCTTGGCGGCCTTGCAAGCACTGTAGGCCTTGTTCCAAGCCTCTTCGTTGGCGGGCACCTCCAGGTCCGGGTTGTCGAACTTCTCGACGAGCCTGCCGAGGTCGCTTCCTTCCACGTTGGCGCAACTGCTCCAGCCCAGCGAGTTCGTGGCAGCTGTGTCCTCCGTTTCGACCTTCTGCTTGTAGTAGTACTTGGCCAGCAAGGGGTTCTTGTGAGGCTTGCAGTCGGACTTGAAACCAAACTCTGCCTCACAGTCGGCGATCAAGTCCTTGAGCGTGTCAGCAGCCACAGCCTCGTCCATGTTGCTCGGGTCCAGGCCGTTCATCTTGAGGATCTGGCTCCTGGAGAAATCATTCGAGTAACATTACAAACCAATCTTACTTGAAATGCCAACTGAAAATAAAAAACTGAGCATAAAAAAAGTCCTGTTGAAGTAGCCCTTCGTGGTGCTCTCCTTGTCCACGCTTTGCGTTTGGTATTCGCTTTGCATCTCGGCGAACCAGCTGAGGTCACGAAGCCCGCTCGTTTGCAATTTCTGCAATATTTCTTTTTTTCCATGGACGCCAGACTGTTGGTACTTCAGCAAGATATCGTTCGCTTGTTCGCGATGCTTCTCCGTCATTTTCTTAGCCTTGATTTGGTACTTGAGGCTTGTGAGCAAGCCTGCCACCTCTGCCTTGGCCATCCCCAAAGTTTCCTTCGGCTTCTGGGGCGACAAGGGCTCCGTCTTGACAGGTTCCCCTGCGGCCGACTTGGTTCGCCTTCTGCGGGGGGAGGTGGTCTCGTGGTTGCTCGGCGAGGCTGCTGCGGCCTTGGCCTTTGCCGTGGCCTTCGGTTGGGTCTTGGCCTTGGCGGTGGTCTTCGCCTTGTTCTTGGCGACGGCCTGAGCGACAGCTCTGCGACTGCGGAGGAGCCCCATCTTGCAGGGGACGGGTGCAGGAGGCGAGGAGGCCAGCACGTCAGGAGCCCAAAGCAGCTTCGTGAAAACACGTTTTTTTTTTTAGAATCTAGGAGGACCCTCCTTCACAGGAGGATCCTCCTACAAGTGAACATCGGTTTGGGATGCACATGCAAGGCTGAGGTGGACTTCCTAGGAAAGCACTGCAACATGTGTCCGAAAATCTTCCAAGGACCAAGCTCGACCCTCAACTTGCCAATCGCCAAAAAGGAGGGCCCTCCTTTATAGGAGAGCCCTCCTGGGAACCTCTTCCTCGTCAGTACCACACGGCACCGCAGACGGTCGCATTTTTTCCAAGCGCCACGGAAGAGCACGGTCGCCAAGCAACCTGGGATGGGATTTGTTGAGGTTGTTGGTTTAGGGGTTGCTTCTAGCTTTTTCCCAAGCCCGACCCCCAGCCAACCACTAACAGCCAGAAACACCAGCCCATCCAACCCACCCCCCCACCCCCCCCAACAACACAAAACAAAACTTCTAGCCCACCAAAACTTCCCCCCCCCCCCGACACACCCCGAACAGTTCAGCACGAAAGCCCCGACACGAAGAAACTGCACCCGGCAACACAAGGAAACACAAGCCCGACAACAGACCAAACCGAAACCTTTGCAGCCAAGGAGCTCAGATCATAGCCGCCGCAGCCACAGCAGAACCTGAGGCAGCAGACACCCCTAGGGTTAAAATTTTTAACCCATGGGTTAAAATTTTTAACCCTTCCTTTATATATTTAAAAGCAAGCAGGGTTAAAAATTTTAACCCATCGGTTAAAAATTTTAACCCTGGTCTTTCCCGACTGAGCTTGCAAAACTGTTTCCAAACTTGTGTTTCGTTTTCGGGGGCTGGCCTCTTTACTGAACGAAATCTTTCGGGATCTTCACCAAACCACCCTAAACCCAAAACACATGTTACTAGTACACAGGAACAACATGGTGCCAATGATGTGAAAACTCTGGGCTGCACTCTAGAAACCGATCCAGGGCCCGTGCCACCTAGTACAAGTCCAACCCGACCCAAGCAAAATACCCAAAACTAGAACCGCTGCACCCTTTTGGCCTATAGGGAGAGCCTCCTCGGTAGGAGACCCTCCCCAAGTCCACCCTGCTGCCGCCCAGCAACCATCACTTGTCCGCCGGGTCGCCGCCCTTCTCCCCCTTCTCCTTCTCCTGGTTGTCGCCCGCATGTGGCTCTCCTGCAGCAGAAGCTCCGAAAAAACAAACCCACACACGCACACAAACTGTCCTTGATCGTTTCCAGCTGCAGGGGCGACGGGCCTGGGTCGCTCAGGACGCAGACGGCTTCCACCGAACTTAAAGGAAAACCGAGACCCGTACGACAACACAATCCATGACCCCGTTGGCGAAGCTGGTGCCGCCGCCTGGCTCCGAGCCTCTGCTGCCTCTGCTTGGCGGCGACGTTTCTCCGGATCGACGGCCTTGGCTCAAAGCACGCACAAGCTGAAGCAAAACAGCAGAGTATTGCGGCCCAGCGGCAACAGGACCCTCTCGTGGACGTTTCTCCGCTTCCGTCTCACCCCACCATTTGCCCTTGGGGCAGCCAGCAGCCTTGGTCTTTACATAGGAGAGCCTCCTGTATAGGAGACCCTCCTTTAATCCCTTACACATAGACAGGAGCCCATGTACGATTTATACAGAGCTAGGACCCTACATTTCTACATGAAGGTTGCAATTCAGGGAGAGCCTCCTTCATAGGAGACCCTCCCTAGTGCCAAGCTGCATGCCATTGCTTGACCGATTCCTGCCATTGCTTCCGCTTAAGTCCCTTGTTCTTCTTGTTCTTCTTCTTGATGTTTTGCGAAACATTGGCACCGTGGATATCATCGAACTCCTTCGGGGTGTAGTCCGGCTTGCCTCCCTTCTGCTTGTAGGGGTTCCACGGCTCCGACCGGTTGGGGTTGTAGATATAGTAGTCGCCTTGCTCGTTTTCAGGGTTAAGGGCTCTGGCTTGGAGCTTCGGGCTCGAGGTGTTATGGGCCTTAGAGACTTAAAGGATTAGAGGATGCACCCAAACACTTCTGTAGACTGTAACCCCCCGCTACAAATAACTGCTAGCCAAGCTGCACTTTTTGTTGACACAGCCGTCTTTGCGGATGTACCCATACGATTTGCAGAACTGACAGTACCTCAGGTCATACTCCGGCTCATCATCCGGATCCTCGTCCGGCTCGTCGTCTTTCCATGGCTCCCAGTACGACTTGTCGTCGCGACCTCCTCCTCCGCCCCAGCCACCTGAGCCCCAACCGCCAGAGCCCCAACCGCCGCCGCCTGAGCCGCCGCCGCTGTAGTAGCTGGTGCCCGTCGTCGCCATTGCAACGGGCTGGCCGAGAGTGCAAAAGGAACAGGGTTCGAGCCAAAGCAAGCTGCATTATATGCATTCAGCGCACACATGGTTTCACAGCAGCAACATACAAAGCGCAAGTGCTTTGCAGGACCCAGGAGAGCCTCCTCCATAGGAGGCCCTCCTTGCAAGACAACAAGATCTCGCACGCACTTCTAGCTGCAGTATACACACCAGAGCATGTGCCGGATACTATACTCAGAATGTCTCCAAAGGCCGTGCCCCTAAACTGTCAAAGCCCGCAAGTCACAACCCCCACCCCTCTCACAAACGAAGTTCAATAACCATATACCAAACATATACCAAAACAAAACATTGAACGTGGAATGAAAAACAAACACCGCATATCCCAGCTAGGAGAGCCTCCTCCAAAGGAGGCCCTCCTTGACATCCTTCCACACGAAGACGTGCTTTAGGCACTGTCGAATATCGCAAGGCATCCTTTTCGCCGCTTCCAGGCTCCTTATAGGACAAAATCCTAGCCAACTGATCTAACCAGCTGCCCGGGGGGTGTCATCACTCGAAACATAGTTTGCTCCTTCATGGTAAACAAACCAACGAATATCGCTATGCCAAAGCTCGTGTACGGCTTGGACGGTTTTGCGATCTCGAGGAACAAGAAAAGCCCAAATGAGGTCGGTCGCCCTTGCACAACTGAACTGGTGGATGCTGTCGCCGAAGATGGACCATTGGACGTCCAGCACCAGGCCGTGTGCACCTGAGCCACCTGAAACTGGTCTTGTAGATCAAGATATTCCCAAATCCTCCGGCCAGCCTGGACTCGGGCGAGCGATTGCAGCAAGTCTTCCATTGCTGAGTTCTGCAGATGTTGGGCCGAAAAGTCGCTGCGAATATTCCTTTCAATTCACATGCCAGGAAAACAAAAGACGAACACGGCGACGGAAACTGCATGCGAAGCTTGCACACGAAATTGCAGGGGCCTTTCCTTTTGCATCTCGTTTGCTTAGATGGCAAGCATAGTGTGAAAATCATTTGCCTCGCTCACAGACATGATCAGTCAGACCTGTGCGAGGCGACTCTTACACCAATCTTCGGCATCAGCTTCTTCAAGCTCGCCGCTCTCAAGCTTCTGGACACATGCTTTTGCGATCCTGTCCATCTGCCAAACAGGGACGCCTTTTCGGCCGAACTGGAACAGCTGTGAGAAGGGAGCCTGCTTCTGCCGAATGGCCTTCTTGTGCCTGGGCGCCTTGTAATACATGATAGTGTATGTGCGCCGTCCCACACGATCCTGCTGTGCAGCAGCTACGTTCTCCGGCTGCTCCTCCGCAACTGATGGCTGGGGCTCCATGCCACTGTCCTCGTTTTCTTCGAGGCTGGCAGAGCTAGCCGAAGCACTTGCCGTTGTCGGTGCTGCAGCCGGCCTCTTCTTGGCAGCCGGTTTTTTCATCACTCGAGCAGCCGGCCGCTTCATCCGCTGAATTCGCAGATTTGGGATCTCTGTGGACACTGCCTCCGCTGAGCCAGGGAACAAAGCTTTCTGGAATCCGTCTTCGCCTTTTTGCATCGTTGCCATCACCAAAGCCCCACTGGGATAAGCACGAACCATGCAGAGGCGAGCAGAGTCGAAGTACTCTTGGTATTCAGCAGACCCGTCTCCGCCCGAAGTTTTGTCTTCCACTGGCAAAGCTGCCGTAGGAGGTGCCTCCTGAGTAGGAGACATGACCTCCTGCGAGGAAAACACTTCCTGCACGTGGGCAGGAGACAGCCCAGTCTCCTCCACCTCTGCACCTGGATCTGAAACTGGCGCCTCCAGGCCGTACTGTGTGAAGATCTGCTCCTTGCTGCTGCGAGTCGCAGGAGCCACCGAAGAGGGCGAGGGCCGAGGACTTGCAGCAGGTTTGGATGCAGAAGAACTGAAGCTGCTTCTGGAGACTTCTCGTGCCACACTGCCGCCCATGCCTTTCAAGAACATGACCACCTCACGAACGGCAGGTGGTAGCTTCTTCCCAGACGTGCAACTGCGCTTGCTGCGACAATGACATACCGCATTCACAAGCTTCTCGCACCAAGGCTTGCAAAGTTCTCTACTGGATTCCGGGAACAAGCTCATGCAGCCAGCAAGGAGTACCTTCACGGTGGGCCTGCTGGTTTCCTTCAAGACGTCCAGGATCAAAACCTTGTACTCAGCCACGACCTCATCCAGGCTTAAGTTCATATACTGGTCTGGTTTAGGGGCATCTGCAAAGCCATTCCCCTTCAATACTTTCTTGATATCCTTTGCACTCGCTTCATTGCGGGCTCGGGCCATCTCTACAGGAGGCCGCTGCAGCCAAAACAAGACTGCAGGAGGAAGTTGCACACGCATGGCATAATCTGCGGGAATGCTGCACCTATCTCTTCCAAGCAAATCAATTGCTCCAGCTCGTACGGACAAAGAGACAGAGAGAGACACAGAAACTCCGGTGTCTGTGTGTGTCTGTGTTTTTTTTTTTTTGTGTGTGTGTGTGTGGGTGTGTGTGTGTGTATGTGAAATTCTGTTTGTTGGTTTCTTTCGCTATGTATAAGTATGTGTATATAGTGTATATGACTGTATTAAAAAAACACCTTAATTAAGGTATGAAAAAAAACACCTTATTTAAGGAAAAACACCTTATTTGAAAAACAAAAAAACACCTTAAGCTTAAATAAGGTCTTTTGGAAGATCTGGGTAGCTGCCGCAATAGCCAACAACGTGTGCATTCGAGCCGATTGTAATAACACTTGCAACATTTGAGCCAAGCTCGGTTTTCTATAGGGTGACTTGAGCCAACATTCGAGCCAAACTCATTAAGGTTTGTAGGGTGCTATATGTGCACACATACAATCATGCATATGTGTGTGTGTGACGAAACTTAGGGATTTCTTTATGCGGGTAATATGATAGCATATATATAAGCCAATATGATTGCGCATTCTCTTGTGACTCGAATGTGACAACGTTGGGAAATGAGAGGGTCATGGGAGATGTTGCATCACAGAAAGTTCTTGGGATTGCTTATAAGAATTGGCTTCATACGAAAAAAGGCTCCCGAGGCGATCTGCTTCTCATGGGCTTGAGGGTTTCGGGTTGAGGGCTTTTGGGGCATTCGTTTTGGGTCCGGCCGGCTATCTCAAAACCCGACCCGAAAATCCCGAACCCAATCTCATCAGGACCAGCTTTGCACACCCAAGGAAAGCTGTACCCTGAATCCTCTATGCAATCCCAAATCTTCGCGTAAACCGCATTCGAAAGCTTTTGCGCGAGGATCCGAGCCGTCACTTCGTCATTTAAATGCCCATGATGCATCGTCTCTTTGCATATTCGGCGCTAGAGCTGCTTAAAGGTCTTCTGTTGTCGTCGCACAGCAACAGCTCTTCGAGAGTCTCCTTTCCAGTAAGTGCAGCACCGGGTCCAGTAGATGCTCTTTTTGCTCGCTCCCATGACAAAGCCAGGTACAGCACATAGCGCTGTTGTACACGCAGCATCATCGAAACCGAATGGCACTTCACAGCGATCTTTTTCATCTTCCCCATGTACGATTCTGAATTGAAGTTTTGATGTATACGCACGTTCACTCGTGTCGATGCCACATACAGACCAATGTGTTGAAGATAATGGTGTTTGGGACGGATTTTGCACAAAGCGATGCCCAAGGCCTCAAACTTCAAAGCCAGCCGCTGCCACGTCCGCAGGTGCAATTGAACCAGCCCGTTGAACCTTGTAGAATCCTGCTCGGTCATCAATAAGTCGGAGTTGTCCAACAATCGTTGGGCCTTATTGAGTGCTCGTACCACTACTGCCATCTGCAGCAACTCCTCATCCTCGTGCAGTGAGAGACGAAGCAGACAGGCGAGAGAGACACAGAGAGAGAGAGGGAGAGAGGCGAGGAACCTAGGGGGAGGGTACAAATATCTAGAAATACGGAAATTGATGACATGATGCTTGCCCGATATATGAAGGTCCTGAACATTCTGCAACACCATCTGAAGCTTCCTTGCCATGCCCCACACCATGACCTTCATCTGTGCAGCTTTGAAGCTGCTCCCCATTTCCGGATATTCACTCCAGGACTCCAAGCCCGTGTTCGCAGGTGTCATTGCAGGCAAAGAGCAGGAAACCCTTCAGGCGGGAAGTTATGAACTATTGAAATAACAGAACACATAATAAGCTTAGAACAAAGTTTGTTCACCCCCCCCCCGGGCGGCCCAGTCTCGCTCTTGCGCTCCTTCTTGATCCAGGCTGTAAGGCTCTTGAGCTCTAGGCGCAAATTCGTCATGGAAATCACACCCCGCATTGCCATCAGCTTGATAGCGGCAGCAACCACATCTCTTGCAATCCCCAGCAACACAATGTGCATCCAGTCAAAGAAAGTATTTTCAATCTTCCATCCTGGCATTGCCGTCCAGGGTGAAAGTTCGGCTGAAGGAGTTGTGTTGAGGTACATGTTGTGATCAATAGCCGTCAAAAGAAAGGGAGCATTCGCCGAAAAGTTCTTGAAGTTCATATCATCCATGTGTTTCTCTGTCGGCGTCTTCGCACAACATCGGTCGCACAGCTGGATACAGTTGTAGTGGCGAGAGAAATAGTGACACTCCCGCCGGGCTTTCTGATCTCCACGAAATCCATAGAAGCACGCCCTCGGACCATCAGAGAGAAAGAGAGAGTGAGAGAGCGAGAGAGAGAGAGAGAGAGAGAGAAAGATAAAGAGAAAGAGAAAGAGAGAGAAAGAGAGAGAGAGAGAGAGAGAGAGAAAGATAAAGGCACGCCCTCAAGCCTGGGGAAAGAAAGAAAGAAAGATAAAGAGAAAGAGAGAGAAAGAGAGAGAGAGAGAGAGAGAGAGAGAGAGAGCGGCCCCCAAGTGCATGCCCACACACACAGAGCCACACATACACACACACACAGCTGCAACCCAAGAATCTTCCATTCACCAGCCAGCGCCGTGCCACTTCTTTTCGCACGGCACGACGTAGAAGGAAACTCTTCACCATAGAAGCCAGTCGATGGAAACTTTCCGCTTTGAAGGACTTTGAAAGACCAGCTCATCAGCCTCGCGATTTCCTTGTGCACGTAGTTCTTGACCTTCGAGTAGGCGATTTGCTTTCTGTGCGTTCGAGTTCAGTATATTAGCATGCGCACAAAAACCAGCAAATCCAACACAGGCCTGCTTCTGTTGCATAGCTTTTTGCGGGAGGATGCAGCACACGAACTGCGTTTCAAGGCAATCCACATCCAGCAATGAGGACAATGCACTCGAAAACGACCAAATGTTGTATTCGGAGTTCTTGTACATCTCTGCACCATCAAAGTGAATCAGCAACGGTATCATCTCGCTTAGATCGCAGCCGGCCAATGCCGGATGATCCTTCACTTCTTCCGGCACATATCGTTGCAAATGCCGCCAAAATTGCTTGATCGCAGCCGGCGAGTGTCGCCCCAGCATACTCAAACCAAACTGGCAGGGAACAAGGAGACATTTATACAGCATGACATACCAGTGAAAACGCGCACACACACACACACACTTACTTATACTCACGTGCACACATACGTGGAAGCACATGTAACCAACAGCATGCTCTTGCTGCTTGTCTTTCTCGTCCTCGCTCTCTTGCCCTTTCTTTCGGAAAACACACCACGTCTGTCTTTATTTGGCCCCCACTGAAACCTGATGGTCGCTTGAAGAGTGAATCGCAGAGAAGACCTCGTGTGGTAGGAGCACAGGTATCCGCGTGGATGCCGTCCCCTTCAAAGGGTTATCTTCCTGTTCACCAATGTCATCAATATCGGCATCGTCTTTTTCAAGCATGACATCTATGAAGTATGGTTCCAAAGTCACCCCGTACAAGCCTCGAAGCCACCTATGTAGGTCTCGCTCAGCATTCGCTTCATGGGCACCGAAGGAGCCCAAACTTGCAAAAGCAGTCACGGCTTCTTGGGGTATTCCATCACGAACCATTGCAACTGCCAAACTTTGCGCATGAGCCACATGGCTCTTCCCACTACCAATCATTTCCAGAAGCTCTTCTGCTGCGTGAGAATGTGGCATCGCAGCATAGTCTTCTCTCCGACGAAAAGATTTGGGCCTGCGAAACGACACGACAGCAACATTGTAGCTGTACAAGCTATAAGCACACGACGATCACAACGACCAAACCTCGGCTTGGATAGGTCATCACCAGCCACGCCTGCAATCAACAAAGCAGAAACAACATCAGGATCCCTAAGCAAAGCCGACTGCCGCACATGCAAAGAGCCAGCACCACAGTCTTTCCACAGAGCCCTATGCACTTCTGCAAAACCATTTGCACATCTTGGCAAAATGAGTTTCCCAAGGCATTCGGTGACACGCATGGCACACTTCTCTCAGAATCATTCTCCCAAACTTCGGTACTTTACACAGCATGTGTGTGTATGCTGGGTTAAACAAAACACACACACAAATCCTCAAGTGTGCACGCATGTCCCTGTGAGGGGTCGCCGTGTGGCAAGCTCTATCCCACGTCAGAATGCTCTCGTCCCGACTCGTCACACATTGTGCAGCGCATCTTCAAGCCGCATCAGTCCGCTTTTGCGGAACTCTTGGCGGCCGCCTTCTTTGCTGCAGCCTTTTTTTTGGATTTCAATCCAGACTGCAGGCCGTTTGCTGCTGCCTGCGTGTAAGCAACGAATCCAAGCACATGCCCAATGTATCTACATGCTAGTTTGCATCCAACATCATATCATTGTGCCTGGGCTTGCTTGAACCATGGCTTCTTCTGATCCACCCACTTGATAACTTTCCTCAAGGCTTTTGTGTTTCCGTCTTTGTCCAGCTGACACATCTTCTTGTAGGCAGACTCCATCTGCTTCGAAAATTTGAGCAGCTGCTCCGATAGCTGGCCGCCGTAGTTCAGCTTGGTCAGGGTGATGGAGGTTTTGCGAGCCTCCGTGGAATCCTTCAGGATCTCGGTTTCCTTTTCCGCCACCTGCCTTGGAACAATTGACTATCAACCACGGATACCACATGCAGCCTTTATAAAGATTGAATTCTTGAATGCAATCAAGAAGCTCTTTCAGGGTCTTGGGCTTCATCTCCTCGGGTTCTTCCTTATTGTCCTTCCTCGGTTTTGGGATGCGCTTCTGCATCCCTCCCGCCTCGTCGAAGAGGCTCAGGAGAGCCTTCTCACCAGCCTCGGAGGCTGCATGCACAGCAGGCATACTGCCTGCCTGAAGCACATTGCCCTCTTCGAGAACCTTTGCCAAATCTTCATCCATCGCTTGATCCACCCGGAGGGTCTGAGACTCGCTTGTGCTGTTGTCAAGCCGCAGCAGGTGGCCCTTCGGCATATAATACCAAGCTTCCTCAGAAAGCCAATTCATATCCAGCAAAAACCCTTCTGCCACACTGACCGCAACCTAGACACATCCTCTTTGTCCGGGAAGTCTTTGTCTTTGTACCAACGTCCTTCGGCTTTTCTTGCGGCAATTACTTGCTTGTACATGGCCTGGCAAGCACACACGATATGTAAAGAAGCATGCACACAGACCGACGGTGCCTCGTCGGTGTACTTAGCCTTCAAGTCTTTCCCCTGGATGGCAACAACATCCTGTCGGTTGAGATTCTTCCTTTCATGTTTTCGTTCCATGATAAGCTTCACCCTGGGCGGCAACCATCACAAATCACGTCTGGAGTCGGACAACAGCAAGAAGGCAAAAGGTGCAAATGCACAAACGCGCCATAGCTTCAGCCAAGTAGCTCATCCCAATTGCCGTTGCAATCGAGCCAGGCACCAAACAAATCCGTCTTGGATTTGCTTGCGTAGGAACTCAGGCTGACGGGGAACTTCTGGCGATTCTTGATCGCCCGATCAAACACGGCCCATTCCTTTTTGTGCGTCGTACCTTAGAAGCACAAAAGACACACTGTCACTATACACATAGCCCCCTATAGTTTCAAGTTGCACAAGACATCAAACGACATTTCATCTGGGGAGCTGTTCCGCACTACTTCCTCCTCCTTCTCCGTGGCCTCCCTCAAGGAAGTTGGGTCGGGGGTCGGTTCGTCATCATCTCCAGACAAGGGCTCCCCGTCGGGGTCCTCGGATCCTTCCTCAGATGAGGAACCGCTTGGCATGTCTTCTTCATTCAGGTGGCACTCTTGCGACGGCAGGATTTCCTCCTCGGCTTCGGCTTCACATTCAGCGACATTCGGAGATGCCTCCGGCTCCCCTGCCTCCTCCGATTCCTCCTGTCCATCATCATCATCATCATCCTGGTCACCGAAATCCGCGGAACCTTCTGAAGCCATTGGGGAGCATGCAGCAAGTTCCTCGGCTGCTATCTGTGCCTCGATCAGCGCCACTTGATCAAAATCATTCTCGGACTCTCCGTCCTAGACACAGAATGCTTCAAAGTCATCATGCACCATAACACATGCGTCACGCTCTGCGGAAGTGCTTTGCACAACAAAGGAAACTGCACCCACCTCCTCGGACACGCGGGCTTTCTTGTGTTTGGCTTCCTTCTTGTCCTGGGCTTCCTTCTTGTCTTTGGCTTCCTTCTTGTCTTTGGCTTCCTTCTTGTCTTTGGCTTCTTTCTTGTCTTTGGCTTCCTTCTTGTCTTTGGCTTCTTTCTTGTCTTTGGCTTCCTTCTTGTCTTTGGCTTCTTTCTTGTCTTTGCTTTCCTTCTGGTCTTTGCTTTCCTTCTGGTCTTTGCTTTCCTTCTGGTCTTTGCTTTCCTTCTGGTCTTTGTTTCCCTTGTGGTCTTTGCTTTCCTTCTTCTGTTGCTGTGCTCCCTGGCCTGGGCCTTGCTGGGGTTTGGCCGGTTCAGGTCCCTTCGCCTTCGCTGGCGCGGGGTCTTGCTTGTCCTTCTTGTCTTTTGCATCTCTGCTCTCTCTGCCCTCCTTCTTCTCTTTGACTTGCTTCTCCTGCTGCGTCGTGCCTGCCTTCTTTTCCCTGCTCTCCTTCTTCTCTTTGTCTGTCTTATCCTCTTTTCTTGGCTTCTGGTCTTGGGCTTCTATCTCTCCCTTGCTTTCCTTCTTCGGCTTCTTCTTATTCTCCTGGTCTTTCGGTGGCACAGAAGACGCCGCCGCTGCTGCTTTCAGCAACTTTTCCTGCCGAGCCACTTCTCGATCGGATGGCTCGGCTTGCCTCTTTGCCTTCTCTGAGCTTTTGTGGCTCCCAGAACCAGTAGAGACCCGAGGCTTTTTTGCCGGCTCGCTTGCTGCATCTTTTGATTGCTGGCGTTTCGTAGAAACACGGTGGGTGACGTCTTTTCCCATGGCTGCAGCACTGCAGCACACTTGAAAAAAAGTTCCAAGCCAAATGCTTAAGGACATGAGTGTTGCTTCAACATGCACAGAACGAATGCATTCCTGCTGCAGGCCCTCTCCCACAATCTCACTGCATCTCACTCGCACCTTTGCAAACGATGGACAGACAGACAGGCAGACCGAAACAGACAGCAGCGCTGGGCGGGACGGCTGGGCGGGACGGCTGGGCTGGGCATGGGCTGTGATGGTACATATAGAGACAGAGAGACAGACATGCATACGTATGCGTGATATAGAAACAGCACGCACATGGCATATGTATATAATGCATGGATAATATGCACAGACCGTGATACTCTACTTTTATACATGCTATAGCTTCCATGTGTGCATATTACACATGTTATTAGGTTTGCTTCCAGTGCATGCAGGCAAATCAGGCAGCCCCAATTGAATTATACATATACTGTATTTTGCTTTCTAATATCAGTACATCTACAATTATGCAATCACAACTTTTTTTGTTACATATATCTGTATATATAGATATAGACTCATACACTTCCTATACTACATATAAGCATAATACAGCAGTATGTATATATATATATACATACATTATATACATAATATTCAATGATAATGTTATAAAATTATAACTATATATATGTATATGCTTATAACTGCTACAAATCACGGCAGCACAAATCACGGCATCGGCTGCTACAAATCACGGCAGCGGTTTCTCAACAAATCACGGCAGCGGTTGCTACAAATCACGGCAGCGGCTGCTACAAATCACGGCAGCGGTTGCTCAACAAATCACGGCAGCGGTTGCTATAATCACGGCAGCGGTTGCTCAACAAATCACGGCAGCGGTTGCTATAATCACGGCAGCGGTTGCTACAAATCACGGCAGCGGTTGCTACAAATCACGGCAGCAGTTGCTAGGAATCACGGCAGCGGTTGCTACAATCGCGGCTGGTTGATAAAATTTTGTCAGCGGCTGCTACAAATCACGGCAGCGGTTGCTACAAATCACGCTCCTAGGAGCTATAATGTTGGCCGAAATCGCGGTTCATGGGTCGAGTTGTGGCCGTTCGGGGTTGCTTCGGTGTGGTTTCAGGGTGGCAAATACAAATCACGGCATTCCACGCCAAATCACGCTAGCGGTCACGCCAAATCACGGCATTGACTTTGCCGGTGTTGCAACCATTTTTGTTGGCTGTGTTTCGTTTCCGTTTCGTTGTTTTCCGTTCCCATCCCTCTGTGTAGCTCTCCTGTTCCGTCTCTGTCGATCTGCGCTCTCCCGTGTCCTTTCTCCTGGGTCCCCTGCCCGTTTCCTCTCTCCTCTCTCTTCTCTCCTCCCCCCCCCTTTGCCTCTCCCCTCCCAGCATTCCCTTTACTCTCATGTATAACCATTCCATGCGTGCACAGAAGAGCATACTGAGACTGTCTGTGTGACATACATGGCACCCAATGCACCCAGCACGCTGCCTTGATCTGCAGCTTTGCATTCAGCCAATCGCAGACGGCCTTGATTCAATGTAAACCGCGGCATAGTCCTGCGTAGCAAGGCACCATGTTCTATTATCTATTCGATACCCACAGCTATATACAGGCACATCACCAG